AGTGCGGATAATATTGAACAACTCTACCTCATCCAGATACAGCTCTGTTGTTCCTCCTGGTTTATCATCAGACTCCCCATCATAGACGAGCTCCATTTCATTATCTCCCTAATTGTCCTTGTTTGCCGCCCAAAGGTGTGGATCAACTTGCCTCTTGGGGCACTCGAAAGAGCAATGCCTTTGTTCACCACAGGGCACTTGAAAGAGTAATGCCTCTGTTCACCACATTTGAAGTCAAGCCTGGCCAGGCTTCTTAATGGGCAGGTTTGTTCCTGTTGTCACCCCATCTCCAGGTCGAAAGCTAGGGTCAGCCAGCTCCCACGGCCTTGGATTAGCACAACGCCCTTTGATGTCGAGGAGGTTCCTCAATCGTAGTAGCAAACAAAAACGCTCCTCTTCAACTTTGCTTTCATTTGTAAGGCAAATAAATATGCCTCATCCACGTTGGTCTCCCGGTATAGGATGAGCTCATTTTGAATGTGGAGTTTCAAGTCACTAACATGGCAGTAAATTTTCATGAGCTGATCATCATTTTCATGAATTTCTTTTTGTCTCTCTATAGGGGTTTTAGGTAAAACCCTTATGTATATCCTTGCACGCTCTTCCTCCGGGATCTTAGGTGTAAATAACTGGGACGAACTTTTCATTCAGTCATGATTTCATATTCCTCCAGGTCAAGATTTTCTCCTTGCCTCTTAACCGATTGGCTTGCAATTGGTGCTATCAGATGAGGGCATGGGTACGAACATCACCTTCTTCTGCTCAGACAGCTCTTTCCACTCCAAAAATGTCTCGGCAGTAGCGAGCCAATCAAAGTCATCTGATTGTAGCCAACCAGAGAACTCAAGCACATCTAGTCAGATGCCTCTATCCAATCCTTCAAAGGCCCGCACTAGATGCTCCTCGAGGGCCATGTCGAGGTTCCTCCCCCGGTTAGGAAGCTGAGCTTCATCCCTCCCCTGGTTATAGAAAGGTTTCTCTTCTCCAGGCTCTAATTAGTCCCTCTTATGGACGACTGAACCCTACTTGGAACGAGTTTGGTGCCTCATGCGCCGGTTCCTTAAATCTTCTCAACAGGTCATTGAAATCCTCTCAAAACCACTACCATGGCCCAAAACCATTGTAGGCCCAAAACCACCACCATGGCCACGGTCTCCATGAGCTCCTTTAGCAGCCATCGTGCATAGTTGTAGTGTCCGAGGTGCTTTGGGAGTCGACCTGCTCTAGTACTAGCTGATGGAGGAAAAGGATCAAGCAAAGGGAAAACAAGGGAAACCCGCTGATCAATGTTCAAAAAGGCATAGGTGGCTGTCTAGGCAGTTTGGGCTCTAGGTCGCCTACGCGCTAAGGCTGCTTCCCAGACCCAAAGGTGGCATGTGTTGTCTTTTTTTTTAAAGTTGGATCCCCCACCCCTCCCCCCATTTTATTGTATATATTATATAATAATGATTGCGACGAATACTGTTTTTTGGTTTACCAATAAATTAATAATTACTATCACATGCACAAAGCATTTTCAATAAATTAATAATTACGATTTAATGCTATTTTTTGGATTACTAATAAATTAATAATTACTGTTACATGCAAAACAACAAGTGGCATAAAAAGTCTAATCCTTCCATATATTAATTAAAACTGAATTATTACTATGTTTTGGTTTATCAATAAATTAATAATTATGAATTAATACTATTTTTTGGATTACCAATAAATTAATAATTACTATCACATGCAAAAAGAATTTTCGATAAATTAATGATTACGAATTAATACTATTTTTTGGTTTACCAATGAATTAATAATTATTGTTCGTCTGTTACATGCAAAACGACAAGTGGCATAAAATCTAATCCTTCCATATATTAATTAACACTAAATTAATACTATTTTTTGGCTTACCAATAAATTAATAATTATGAATTAATACTATTTTTTGATTTACCAATAAATTAATATTTACTGTTGCATGTAAAAAGTATTTTCAATAAATTAATAATTATGAATTAATAGGTTTACCAATAAATTTTTTTTTTGAATATGTTGACTGTGGTTTACCAATAAATTAATAATTTCTATCACATGCAAAAAATAATTTCGATAAATTAATAATACAAATTAATATTTTTTTTTGGTTTACCAATATATTAATAATTATGAATTAATACTATTTTTTGGTTTATCAAAAAATTAATAATTATCATTACATGCAAAAAGCATTTTCGATAAATTAATAATTACGAATTTATACGATTTTTTTGGTTTAACAATAAATTAATAATTACTATCACGTGCAAAAAGTATTTTCGATAAATTAATAATTATGAAAGGTGAAGGACCGTAGTCAAACTCTTTGCCTTTTTAGCGGTAAGTACGCACTCAAAGCGAGTCTGGTTCAGGTCGAAAGTAGGAGGCCCTTCTCTAATAGGGCACTCGGTAGGTGGCTTTGCTCAATTCCTTTCTTCTTTTGTCCTGAGAAAGTTTCAATTAATAGTATTTTTTGGTTTACCAATAAATTAATAATTACTGTTACATGCAAAACAACAAGTGGCATAAAAAGCCTAATCCTTCCATATATTAATTAAAATTGAATTAATACAATATTTTGGTTTACCAATAAATTAATAATTACGAATTAATACTATTTTTTGGTGCAGGTCAAGGCCGCCTAGGGGGTCGCCTAGCCCAAACTGCCTAGGACAGGCCACCTAGTCCACGACTATGCGTTTTTCAAAATATGCCTCCTAGGCGGCTGGGCAGCCAAATTTTTGCTTATTGCTGCTGATAGATTGAAAAGACTCAAGTAGTAAAGGGAGCTTTCAATCCAAACTCCATAGCCATGCCTCTGGATAAATAAAACCAGGAAACCTTAAGGATAGAACTAAAAAAAAAAACTCCCCTCCCCCGTATATCATAACCTATTGATAGTCAAAATTCTAAACCATAGGGAAAGCACCATTTGGACCGTCTATTATAATTTTTTTTTTTTTTAAGGGAAGATAACTTGCTATTACAAACTTCAAATCATGATTGTAAATAGAATTTAAAGAAGAAAGAAAATGCAATCTAGTCGAAAATGCTCTGAAAGATGAAAAGGTTCAAAGGCCATTTTTCAGGCCTCTAGAGGGCTTTTCTTGAAAAAAACGTTTCCCCAATTGGTGGAGCAGGTTGGGGTGTCGTAGGGTTTTGAAAGAGCTTTACATTGAGTACCAATAAGCCCAATTCTGAGCTAAGAGCAAAACGTCGAGGCAATTTCTAAGGCACACTGCTTTTGAGTTGACTAACATCATACAGTGTGGTTTTACTGTTGGTTGCTAGTACTTAAAATAGTCATTAACAGATACTATTTCTAGAAGTGACCTTCAGTGTCATAGCACAAATGTTTGAGTTTTGATTCAGATGTTTGTCTCCCTGAATCATGTAAATTTAAATAATCATATAATTATTTTTAATAAAAGGGAAAGAAGAAGGAAAAAAAAGAAAAGAATAAAAGGGTGGAGAACAAAGATAGGTAAAAAAAGAGAAAAAATATAATTATTTTTTAAAAAAAAGAGAAACAAGAAAGAAAAAAAAGAAAAGAGAAAAAGAATAAAAGGGTGGAGAACAAAGATAGGAAAAAAAAATAAAAAATATAAGGATCCTTGCCCTTTTCCCCCCTCCCCCCTCCTAAGTCTAACTTCTACATCAAATTCATCCGTCCTCTTTGGCATTTTCTCTCTTTCTCTCCGTTCTCTTTTTCTTATAAGCTCTATCTACTCCCTCACTCCCTTTCCTTGGTCTAACTCCTCCACCCCCTATCTCCCTCCCCTCTCTCGTTTTCTATTTCTCTCCCCATTCTCTCTCTCTAAAACTCTCTAGCACTCGTTGTCCCCTTTTCTCTCTCTTCGCCCCTCCTCCCTCTTTTTCTCCCACTCCCTTTCCCCTTCTACCCCTTCTCCCCACGTTCAGTAAGGATTACAAAGAAATTTTTTTTTGTTACTAGGCTAAGCTGTACCAGGTCCTCTTTAGCTCATCCCCTTCGCCTCAACACAAGGAGGATCGCCTCTACCGTTCCCACGACCTCTCAAATCTCAGACACTCAACTTGTGGATTGGGCCAACCTAGTCTCGAGGAGTTTATTTTGACATATCAGCTAAAGGACATAGATGAAGTTCTTTCCATGTTCAAACTTCTCGCTTATAAGTACTCTGCTTTATATTCTCTTGCCCCCTTGTAATCTGAACACCCAGCGTGTGGGATGCATTTTATTTTCTCCATTTTGATCTATTGTAATATATTTATTTTTATGCAACAAAGTTAATTATTCTCAAAAAAAAAAAAATCATACTTTTGATATCATTGGAAATGTATCCCTAAGAAGGCATTGTTGGGCCTAGGGCGTTCTTCATGGTCATGAACCATTTTCAGTTTGCTCATCATTGTCATCATATCATCCGAGCCTTATGCCAACTATTTGGGGATGGCTAATATTATATATTATATAATGATTCACTTTACTAAACATGCAAATGCTAAATCTTTGTTCTTTAAACTCTCTTCTATCTTACATCCTTTGGGACCGGAAAGAGTTGGCTACTTATGAAATGTGTTATTCAGTGCCTGCCATATATGGGATGCCATGTTGTTGTGGTGAAGGTTGTTGAATACTCTATGGTTGTTTGACATGCTGTTTGATTTCTTAACTGCCTATTTTTTAATTACTTTACCGCTGGCTTCTTTTGTTTTTTTTGTTTTTTGTTTTTTGTTTTTTGTTTTTATAAATTCTTATCATCCTGCCACCACATAAATTCTTCTATCTTGGGAGGGGTGGGCAGTTTTCTCTCTTTACTGGTGTAGACATTTAATTCATTTCATCAATATGTCATGGTTTAGGCTTGGGAACGTGAAGCATTTGCTTTAACAGGATGGCAGTTTACTCGCTTTACTGGTGTAGACGTTTAATTCATTTCATCAATATGTCATGGTTTAAGCTTGGGAACTTGAAGCATTTGCTTTAACAGGATGACAGTACCATCAAGGCCATCACAACAGCTTTAACTAGAGAAGGAATCAGTGCATTTCATTTTGATTTTTCAGGAAACGGGTAAACTGCATTTTCTTTCACTTTGTAAGTATTTCCCTTAATTATCTTTGGATGTCTGTGATCCATTAGTAATGCATGTTGTATCTTATGATTATATATTGGGGTTAAAAAGAAAATTCTAGTGGACAATGAGACCTTATTTTTTGTGGCTGGCAAAAAAATAAAACTGGTTATCTTAATGTTCAAGCATTCAATACTTTCATAGAAACAGCAGGCAGTAAACTAAACAGACCATATTATTTAATATATGTGTATGGAATAGTGTGTGTATGTGTGTGTGTGTGTGAGAGAGAGAGAGAGAGAGAGAGAGAGATAGAGAGATAGAGAGAGAGATTTCACTGACAACATATAGGTAGATGTGTCTAGATTCTTATGTTATGGAAATTTTGTCATGAACTCATGATATATGATTCTTCGATGATGTGCGCTACCAATAGCTTAGCAGTTTGGTCAACAATAGTTGAAAATACTGATTTGGTGTCACTTGTTGGTTGATGAAACAGTCTACAAGTTACGATCGCTTCACTGGCGCTAGCCCCCTCCATTCCAACTTGACTTTCTCTATCTCTCTCTCTCACTCTGACACTCTCACTCTGTCTCTTGGCATTTATGTTTGATTGTTCTAGCTGGAACAACCATATGTGACCATTTATAATCTGATTACCAGATGTAACCATTTATAATCTGATTGAAGTATTGTTGTTGCTCAAGAAACAACAATGTTAAAAAATTGGCTCTGGCTCAGGACTTGGCCCCCTCCCAAGCCAAGTAACTTGGGCAAGTCCAAGTGGAGGTGCCCAAGTCCTGCACGAGCCCAAAAATAGCTCCAAAATTGTGAAACTAATATAAGAAATTGTTAAAAACTAATTAAAACTATTACAAATAAAGAGAGTTATAAACATCATTAAAGTTCTAAAAGAGATGACAGTTTCCAAAAAAAAAAAATCTATAAGAGATGGAAAAAAAATGTATAGAAGATGGATTTTGAAAAAAAATGCTTTATAGCTTGAAACAATTCAGAAAAATCCAGAAAAGGGGAAAATAGAAATTAGAGCATATAATAAGAAAAATTCACAGCGCATAAATAGCATAAAAATTATATTGAAAACATATAGAACATTTTATTACTGATGAGTAATAATTTTTTTTAGTTGATTTTAACAAACCCGAGTTAGTCTAAAAAACTTGCCTTGGTAGGGTGTGAGGCCAAGTTACTCAGCGGAGTCCACGTCGACTCGGTTGAGTTATGAAACATTGAGAAGAAAAAACATCTCCTAATATGCAACATGGCTTCTTTAATGTGAGTGATGTATGGCTTGGTATCTTGGCATCTTAATGTTTTGGAGCTAGAGCGTTTTTTGTGTCGTACATGACTATCTTCATGAGCAGTTTGTCAAGAAGAAAATCATGCCTGAGTGAGGAAAGATCAACATGTTTGACCTAGGAGTAACTTGGTAGATTGTCAGCCTTGGAATGGTGGTTGTTTTTTTGTTATATGCAACAAATTGGTAAGGTTGTCCACAAGGGAATTTTACTATTCAGTCACTATTAGGAGAAATCTTTTTCACTCCCCCTCGGGGTGGTCCTGCTCCGAAACTGCTGTTTCTCTATGAGTGGATCTACCTTGGAGTTGCAATCCGTTTTTCATGGGATTGTGATCCCATGGGTCAAAGAGAGAGAGAGAGAGAGAGAGAGAGAGAGAGAGAGAGTAGGTCGACGAAGGAGATAGTACGTACGTTAATAACTAACTATACTAATAAGTCGTACTAATTAAGTAGACAAGTAAGGTAACGGGAACGAAGTATACTAGTAGTACGACCAACTAACTTAAGTTAGGTTAAA